CTGGGACTCGTGGGCCTTTCCTGGGCCCTGAGGGCTCCCTGGTGGCAGGGCTGTTTCTGGGGTTTAGGGGACCCCCTGTTCCCCCAGCTGGAGGGAAAGGGTCCCCACACCCCCAGCCTGCCCTCTCCTGCACTCTGCCCTCCAGACCCTGGTGCAGACGCCTCTCTCTGTGGCATGGCGGCCACTGGGGCCTCAGGCACCAACGCGGTGCGCTATGGTACCATGAAGGACAATGTGCTCAACCTGGAGGTGGTGCTGCCCGACGGGCGGCTGCTTCACACTGCGGGCCGAGGCCGGCATTTCCGGTGAGCGCTGCCCCAGCCCCCAGCACCCCAGCCCCCGCCACTGCTGGGAGCCCTGAGCACTGATGGGGGGCTCCCCAGCAGAGAGGAGGCTGGCTGTGAAGACACCTCCTCCTCCAGCTGGCCTCCTGCCCAAGCACGCTAGCCCTTTGACCTGTCACATGGGCCAGAGTTGATGGCACTGGGGTTTAATGTCTGTGCGAGGAAGATGCGGGTTGTGGAGCAGGAAGCACTGTCATGATGGCCACCTGGCCCATGAGGACAGTGCCCTGGGTTCCCGCCCCAGGTTTCTGGCCAGAGGTCCTTCATCATGTGGTCTGAGCACTCACTGACCTTGTATGTCCCCTGGGTCCAGGAAGAGCGCAGCGGGCTACAACCTCACAGGGCTCTTCGTGGGCTCTGAGGGGACGCTGGGCCTCATCACAGCTACCACCCTACGCCTGCACCCTCTCCCTGAGGACACAGTGGCTGCCACCTGTGCATTCCCCAGTGTCCAGGCTGCTGTGGACAGCACCGTACACATCCTCCAGGCTGCAGTGCCAGTGGCCCGCATTGGTGAGTGGGGACTGGGGCAGTCAGGATGGGCTCCCTGGAAGAGGTACCCTTGGAAGGCCAGGCCTCACCTGGGCTGTCCTCTCCCTGGTCCCAGAGTTCTTGGATGACGTCATGATGGACGCCTGCAACAGGCACAGCAAGCTGAACTGCCCTGTGGCGCCCACACTCTTCCTCGAGTTCCATGGCTCTGGGCAGGCGCTGGTGGAGCAGGTGCAGCAGGCAGGTATGCTGGGGGGGAGATTGTGAGAGGGCTGGCTGTTCCAGGGTGGGACCCGGTGCCAACCCTCCTCCCCCCACCGCAGAGGAGATAGCCCAGAACAATGGAGCCTCCCACTTCTCCTGGGCCAAGGAGCCTGAGGCGCGTAGCCAGCTCTGGGCAGCGCGGCACAACGCCTGGTACGCGATGCTGGCCCTGCGGCCGGGCAGCAAGGTGAGCTGGGGCAGGGCTGGAGGTGGGACCCGCAGCTCAGTCCGCAAGGCCTTTCCTTCCCCACCACCCCATGGTACAGAGCGGCAGGTGGTGGCCCACCAGGGGGCAGGGCCTGGCTGAGCAGGTCCTAGACACTGCAGCCCCCCCCCTCCAGCCGCTTCTCAGACACTGTCCATAGAGAAGTCTCAGTTGTCTGCCAAACCCTCAGAGCCCTTCCTGACAGCCAGGCCACAGCGACAGTGCAGTGCGCTCAGGAGTTGTAATCAGAGGGAGGGCTTGCTGGAGGAGGTGATGGAGAGGAGCGTGTGAGTCCAACCTAGAGGGGGAGTCAGGGCTCCAGGCAGCTGTGCAGAAGCTGAGGTGTGAAGGCCCCCCCCCTTCTCAGCCTGTGCCACAGGACACCGCACCTCCGGGCAGGCAGGGGCTGTGGGGGAGGACTCACGGGCCTGCCCTCTGACCCAGGGCTACTCCACCGACGTGTGCGTGCCCATCTCCCGGCTGCCAGAGATCGTGGTGCAGACCAAGGAGGATCTGAAGGCCTCGGGACTCACAGGTTCTGCCTCCTGCTCCTTGTTGCAGTGATATGGGGGAGGCACCGGGGCTGCCCAGAACCCAGACCAGGGGGAGGCCGGGCTGCAGGCAACCGCTCTGTCCTCTGGGCCCCCAGGAGCCATTGTTGGGCACGTGGGTGATGGTAACTTCCACTGCCTCCTGGTGGCCAACCCGGACGACGCCGAGGAACTCCACAGGGTCAAAGTCTTCGCAGAACAGCTGGGCAGGTAGGAGCAGTGCCGCGGCGTGGGGGGGCAGCAGAGGGCAGTGGGAGGGGGAGCCCGCTGAGGTGCTCTTCCCCCTGCCCCCCAGGCGGGCACTGGCACTCCACGGGACGTGCACCGGGGAGCACGGCATTGGGCTGGGCAAGCGGCAGCTGCTGCAGGAGGAGGTGGGCACCGTGGGCATAGAGACCATGCGGCAGCTCAAGGCCACGCTGGACCCCCGAGGCCTCATGAACCCAGGCAAGGTGCTGTGAGAGGCTCTGGCTACTCAGCTCACAAGCCTCAGACTACGGAGGCCCTGTTCTGGAACCTTCCTTCATGCCACTGACCCTGCAAGATGCTGTCTTCATCTGCCAGCTAGCCCTCTGTATCTGCGGCTCGAGGACAGAGGGCTGGAAGGGAAGTCTGGGTGCCGGGCTCCTCCCTGGCCCCTTTGCTACTCTTGGGGGCCTTTTATCCAGTAAATGACCCAGGGTGGTTCCTGTAAAGCTGCTTCCTCTCTGCTCTTACACATCCTGTCGTGGTTGGGGGAGATGGCGGGTCCACCCCAGGACTCAGAGGACACTCCTCCTTTGATACCTCCCCATTGCTGGGGGCCCAAGACCCTTCCCCCCACACCCTGTGACAGGAGTGCTCCTTCCCTGGTATGGGAAGGGACTTGCCACTCCATGTTGATAGCTCTTCTCCTTGGGGCCCCCAAACAAATCTGAACCCCACTCGCAGCTGTCTGGAGATCAGGAGGCACCATGTCCCTCCACTCCCGCTCCAGTCTCTCTGTCCTTGAGCAAGTTTTGCCTTATTTTGGGCCTGTCCTTTGACTTGTTGTAGCCTGGGACACGGTGGTGCCCAGGCTTTGGAAAGGAACCCAAGTCCCTTGTCTCAACTCCTCTGCTTGGGAGAACCTTAGGCCTGGGGACCTGTCCGGCAGGTGTCTGGCAGATGTCACTTATGATAGACTCCCCCACTGGGCCTGAATGGGGCCCTACGACACTCCCAACATGTTCTTCAAGTAGCTGCTGCCAGTCATTAGAAATGGACGTGAAACTGCTCTCTTTGTACCACACCTGTCTGTGGTGGGATGCATTATGCTATCGAGTTTTTTTTTTCTTATTTTTGATTTTTTCAAGATAGGGTCTTGCTCTGTCACCGAGGCTCAAGTGATCCTCCCACTTCAGTCTCCCTCCTGAGTAGCTGGGACTACAGGCACGTGCCACCATGCCCAATTAATTTTTAAGTTTTTTGTAGAGATGGGGTCTCCTTGTGTTGCCCAGGTTGGTCTTGAACTCCTGGGCTCACCTCTGCCTCCTAAAGCATGAGCCACCAAGCTGGCCTGCTACCAACATTTTTGCAGTCAAAGTCAAGGTCTGTCCACCCTGGGACCTGTCTTGGAATCCCCGGCAACAGCCACTGTCTGGAGGCCTTGCTAGGTGTTCCCCCTAAGCCCAGGAGAGGGCGCCCGACATCATGAAGCTCAGACAGGACAGCATCTGCTCTGGGCAGCTGTGGCTCAGGACTTACCTACCTGTCTGGGCCAGCAGCTTTCAGCTCTGGGCCACCCACTTCCCAGGGTCAGGCTGCCAAGAGCTGGTCTAAATCCTCCACCCTCTCCCTCACAAGTCCAAGGGGTGGGTAGTGCTGTTCCATCTCCCCAACCCTTAGGCCTTTGGCCCCCTTAGGACTGGGGCTGCGTGGGAGGGATGCAGGAGACAGCAGCCCCCTCCTACTGATCCCACACCCACCCCTGAGCCTCTCCCGAATCCTCTCCCCCCAAATCAGCTGTTATCAGCTGTTCAGGCTGAGCAGCCAGGCCCTGGGCAGAGGCACCTGCGCTGACTCCTCAGTCAGGCCTCAGTTCTTGGACCTCCTCCTCTGACGTTTGTCCCATGTAGCCATGGCTGGGAGCAGAGACTGTGCCAAGTGTGATTTGGTGGCAAGGGCCCTCTCCAAACCACCCCAGCATGCGTGTGCTTGCCACGGAGACCCCGCTCCCGAGCCCCTCCCCTTGCAGACACACCTGCCGACCCCCAAGCCCTCCCAGGTGAGGGAGGGTCCCCAGGGCCCGCCTCTTCCCTGCTGGGCAGGGCTCTTCTCTGGTGCACCCTTCCAGTGCCTGGCAACTAGTAGGCGCTTAGCAAAGGACTATTTCCCGACAAATTTTTATTAAGAAAAATTCCAAATATACAGAAAAGTTGAAAGAACAAGTACACCGTTCACTGAAAGACCAGCCACTGCAGATTCAACAATGAACATTTTTGCCTTATTTGCTTTGTGTATTTTTGGGGGGGGAACCACTTGGAATTAAATGACACATTTCTTGAAGTCATTCACCTACATAATTCAGCATCTCCTAAGGATAAAGACATTCTGCTATAAACCTCAATACAATGACATGGCTATTAGATGAGTGGTCTCAGTGAGGGCTCCTGGAACCCCACAGAAGCGTGCTGGGCCTTTAGCAGAGTTGGTGTAACCCAGGCCTGGCTCCTCCTCATCATCGCAGGGGCAACACGGGATTCTGGAGAGCTGTCTGGATGGAGAATGACAAACACCAGCTCCACCTGGGAAGTCCAGACACACCCAGCCCCACCCTCACAATGGGAGCTGGCAAGCTGGGTCCCAATTCAGGGGACAGGGCAGGCAGCGGAGTCCCTGGGGATGGACTGGAACAGCTCCCACAGCCTGCAGCCGCTCTGCTTAGCCCTGGCACTGCCAAAGCAGCGGGCTAAAGTCGCCAGGTGGGCCCACAAAGCCTCTGTTTCCAGGTCCAGGGGTCAGGCAAGGAGATCTCCTCCGGGCTGGGCCCTGCCTCGCCAGCTTTGCTGGTGGAATTAAATATAGAACAGGGAGACACAGTTGCTAGGCAGGAGCAGGAGGTGCTGTGAATAGAACAGTGCCCTTTGCGGTGACAAAACTATGAGGCGGCCTGCTGTGCACGTGCCAGGGCCTGCTGGGCAGATCCCCCGACCCTCACAATGACCTCTGAGCTATGGGATTTTGTCCCTATTTCACACATGAGAAATCTGAAGTTCAGATGAATGAAGCTGTTTCTCCAAGATCATTCTGCCAAGAAGCAGAAGAGCCCAAGCGCACACAGTCTGGAGCCCACGTTCTTGCTGCCAATTCTCACGACGGCTTGGGGGCTCCGCCCCAGGCAGGTCCCACGCTAAGACCCAGGCTCACAACTAACTCTTCTTTAGTGTTTCTCTACACAGGCGGAGTGTGCCCGCCTGCCATGGCTCACGCTTCCCCACTGCCTGCAACGAACGCCCTTACGCAGAGTAGGTGCTTCCGGAAGCATCTTCGGGAAGGTGACTGCAGAGTGGAGGGTTGATCCAGAATCCTGGGTCTGGTGGGGCTGAAGCCTGAGAAGGGTCAAAGCAGAGAAGGTGTGGAGGTGTCTCCCTCCAGAGCGTTCCTTGGTGACTCTGCAGGAGGCTCTGGGAGCCTGTCTGGCACAGGGAAGGAGGCCAGGCGTGCACTGCTGCTCCCTGCCCCGAGCTCCCGCCCAGCCTGCTCTTTGCCAACTTCTGTGAGCTTCAGCGGCTGGTTCTGGTTCAAGAGCTCTGAGCTGGCTCAGCCCCAAACCAGGGCCTCTTCCTGGGCCTCAATGAAGCATGCCCGTGAGTCAGCACTGAGCTGCAAGCTGAGCAACAGGCAGGCGGGTATCGGGGGAGCAGAGGCTGAGAGGAAGGGGGCTGGGCTGGTACCTGGAAGAACCCACATCCTTGCAGCCTCCAGTGGCTTCAACATCTCTGCCCCTGCAGCTCTTTCCAGAATAGTTTCAACACACCCACTCCACAGATGATGGCAGATTGGTTCCATGTTTCAGAGGGTCAGGAGGCTTGCAGGATGCATGCCTGACCTGCACCTTCCTTCCACCCAGGATCGACCTTCTGAAAACCACTCTATGCACCTGTAGCCCAAAGTAGTAGCCTGAAGGAATGCTAAGGAGGTAGGTGAGGGAGTGCGGGGCAGGCCCTTGCCCCCATTTCTTGATTGTATAACAATACTTCATTAAAATAAAATCACACAGCGCACCTTTTATTAGACATTATTTTAATACCATATCAAAACACCTTGACTAATGAAGAAAGCTTTTCTCCCAAGCTTTGAACATTTTTTAAACATTTTATAAGGTTTTTTTTTTGTATTTTAATATATAAATACAGAAACCTATCTTGCATGGGCTGATGCCACGTGTGAACATCAATGGCTAAAATGTTCTCAAACAGAATGCCTGAAAACAGGGGTAGCTGTACATATTTCTTAGTCTTTTTTGTTTAAGTTTTCTGGCAAAAAAAAAAAAAAAATCCACAAGGGCCTAAGAATAACGTTCAGGCATTTTTGCAGGACACTTGTGATTGTAAAATCCTCTGAACTGACCAGAACCAGAAAGAGGGAAAGGTAAAGAAATGGGACTGGAGGTGGGAAGAGAGTCCTTGAGGGGTTGTTCTTTTGGCAAAGAAGTCAAGATATCAGGATCCCAAGGGGAGAAAAGTGCAAAACCAAGCCAGGAAAACAGAAAAAAAAAAAACCAAGGTAGAGAGGTTGGTGGTGGAGAGGGCTGGTCAGGACACTGGGCAAAGGAAGAGACCGTGTGAGCTCGCCAGCACCGGGGCATGGGTGGCGAGGACTGGTGTGTCCGTTCCTGTCACTGAGTAGGTTATAGCTGGGCAGCAAACAGCAATCTGTAAACATCACGAGGGAAAACACCAGTCGACACTAGACTTTTTTTTTTTTATATAATTTTTTTTTTTGTAAACACTTTAAAGACAGACCCACAATGCCTTTCAAAGGTGAAAAAGAAAATGCCCTTTCCCTCCTGGGCTGAGGGGTGAGGGGAAGGATAGCAGTTGATTCGTTCTTCTCTCAAACTCGCTCTCATCCAATTTGGTGTCCTCGGGGAGGAAGGGAGAACCATTTTCTGAAGTCAGTGCAGAAGGGGTGCCCTGTTCCCACTGGTGTCCCCAGCTCAGCTCTGCCCCAGTGTCCGATGAGCCTCCTCTCGGGAACAGGGGCTGTCTGTCCCTGTGTGGATTGTGACAAGTCAGTCGTGCTCCACCGGGCCAGGTTGGCTGCTGCGTCCCAAGGCAGCGTGCATCTGCCAAAGGCAGGCTGGCGGGGCGTCGGGGTTCGGTCTGGGCAGCACCCCGGAGCCAAATGCCAGCGGGGGGTTTGGGCTCACGCTCCTGGGCCGGCGCCACTCCCCGGCCTCACTGTCACCCTGGCTGTTTCTTCTCCCCATGTCATCGGTTTTTGAGGTGAAGGTAAAAAGAGCAAATGTCCCTGATTTGTCTGACATCATCAGCTGTTCTGGGAGTTTACTTGGAATAAATAAAATAAACCTAACAAAAGAAAAGAAAACAGAAGAGAGAAAGAAAGAGAGAAAGAAGGAGGTGGGGAAGAAAAGAGGACCCAAGACCTTTGGATGTAAGATGTGGTGGAGTCAGGCTTTTGGTTTTCTAGGGGTTTTGTCTACTTGTTTGCCATAATAGAGCAAATGCCAGCCCAGAGCTGGAAGGGAAAGGTAGGCTGGGGGCCAGGAGAGGATGGACAGCAGCAAAGCCAGGTACCCCGGGGAGGAGGAGATGGGATGGCCAAACCGTTTCCACGTGGGCCAACGGGGTGCTCTCCTGGGAGCAGGGCCCCACGGTGGAGTCAGCACCCTGCGCAGAGGGGCAGAGGGGCCGAGCCTGGCCTGGAGGCCTCAGATTCATCTGGAAGCGGGGCAGGAAGAACCAACAGTAAAATGATAGCTGACAACCACTCTGCAGTGGACAATGCACCGTCCCCCGGGCTGTCTGTTTAGTGAGAGCACTGTCCATATGGCGACAGGGAGTGAGATTATTCCCAAGCGGAGACTCCAGGGTGAGCGAGGACGAGGCGGAGCCGGGCACAAACCCAGCGCTCCAGCTCCTTCTCCTGCCCACACACATTCCCAGGGGATCTTCCTGAACTTTCTTCAGGGAGATTCACTCTAGCATTTGGAATACACAGTCTCTCCCTCAACTAATTCTAACTCTTCTGAGCAAGTTCTTCACAATCCTGCATGTGTTAGTTTCTATCTCACATCCTTCCGAAGGAGAATCACTTTCATTTCTAGAAAACTACTAATTGAGGGAAAATCTTTCCCTCTGCTCCTGCTTTCCTCTCGGTGGGGTGTGTAAAGGCAACCCTGCTCTCCCACCTGCAGGCCTCCAGAGTAACTCGACCCCGAACCTTGCACCCAGAGCACCCCCAACCACGGGCTCACCTTTGAGAGGAGTCGGCAAGCAAGCCCAGCAGGGTCAGTCCGCAGGGTGTTCCGGACAAGATCTGTTCACTTCAAACCATGAGTCTATGCAGCTAGGGAGGAGGAGGCAGCAAGGGGAGACCGTATTACCAGCCGGCCAGACTCCAAAAGGGGCTCTTTCAAACGTCACATTCCTGAGTGTGGGCTTCCTAAATCTCTCCTGAAAGGACCCCGGGGAAAAACAATCATGTCCCCAGACCCCTACTTTTTGAAGAGGAGAACACCAAGACTGATCTTGGCTCAGCTGGAAGCAGCAGTGGAGGGTGAAGGCTCGGTGGACCTGGCGTCGCAGGAAGGGGACAATGCATGGTCCCGTGGGCTGCTGGGTAAGTGGAACCAAGGCCATATGTTCACGGTGCCCAGGAGGCGGCAACAGCCACCAGTGAGAAGGTGAGAGCAGGTGGACTGTGCAGGGCCACCAGTCAGCTATCGCCAAGGCTTGTTGGGCAGAAGCAGGAACAATGGCACAGCAAGACGGTGATGGCTCTAGGCCCTGGGGTCCTGAGAGAGACCCCTCCTGGGTCAAAAGATCAGCCATGGGGCTCCCTCCCAGTGAGTGACCTCAGGAGAGCCCATGCTCTACCAGATCATAGCAGCATCTAGTCCTTCCTGGAGAAGGTGGGGAGGGGTGCTGAGAAAGCAGGCCAGGGAGGAAGCTGACAGCGAGGCCCTGGTCTCTAGTGTTTACAGAAAAGGACTGTCTGCATTAAAGAGGGAACAGAGATTGCCCCAAGACAGCTTCCCAATTTGTAAACCAACATCTGGGCATTTTCAAAGACAGGAACCAGATAGATAATTTGCATAATTCTCCCCCAGGGCCAAAGATTTCCTTTTCTGGGTCTGGTTAGTGCCTTGCTGGACACGGCAAAGATCTGTGCTGGGACCCAGACCAAGAATCTCTCCCAGGCCAACCAAGGGCCTCCTCTGCACCAGCCACATCTCGTGCCGGGCATGGCTACTGCCCTGTGCACCAGTGGCCCTGAGAGTCAGGCTTGGAAAGGCCAGTGTGTTAGGAAGAAGCCCTGTGCTCAGGGAGCTGGAGAGCAGGTGGTGGCCACAGGCAGCACGAGCGTCTGCCTGCCTTGGGCAAGGGGTGTCTTTCCAGTTGGAAACAGGATGGAGGCTCACGCTGGAGCCTGAGGACAGATCTGGGTCCTGCTACTTGTAGCAGCTCTCAGAGCCCTGGCTTCGAAGGCAGTGGCTTTTCCTGTCTCCCAGCCCTCTGGGGAGTGGGGTGAGTCTGGAGCAGAGCATGGTATGGCCCCTGTGGCACAGATGGACACTCTCACCCTGGGTACAGAGGGGCCCAGGAGGAAGGAAGGAAAGGCTCATGGAGACAGAGGGAGAACGAGCTTTCCAAGGGGATCCTCAGCACCTTCAACCTTCGAGGCTCCCACCACCCAAGCCCCTAAACCAGAGCATAGCTCTGGCAACTCAACTCCGCCCTGCACCTGGGGTGCTCATGCCTTCCTGTCAGCACACGTGGACGCCCGTCCGCAGGCTTCTGCCTCAACCCTACTCAGATCCCGAGGTGGGAGGAGAGTTGGTCCCACAGCCAAAGGGGACAAGATGGCTAGTGATGGGCCAGCCCCTATACCTTTTGTGATAGATGCACAGGCAGGGCAGCCTGGCTATCGTGTCCCCCTGAAGCAGCTCCTCCAGGCAGATCACACACTCACCCGCGTCTTTAGTCAGCACATCATCTGCAAGGGGGACAGGGGACAGTGTGAGGGGGTTAGTCACCAGTGGACAGGTAGCACAAAGTAGACCTGGGCCTAGGAACTAGACTGCTTGGATGCCCCAAACTGTGCCAGGCTCTGTGGGGGGACACAGAAGCCCAAGAGGGACCCTGACCTGACCACCCTCACTGTGGAGACAAGACATGCATACCACAGTTAATTACTCAAAGGCAAAATGGGATTAATCCCCCAACAAGATTAACCAAATGCCTAGGTGGTAGAAGTAAAAGGCTTGGACAGACACAAAGCAGAGGTGGTATGAAGCAAGCTGTTTCCCTTAAGAGACTTTTCCCTAAGCATACACATTTACCAGGTGCATTGATTTCTGGTTTGGAAAATACGGCAGTGGGGAGAGTGCCATGAAGCAAGAATGTGGGGAAGAAACAGCAAATACTCATACACGAATGCCCACAACAGTGCTGTTTGCAATAGCCAAAAGGCAAAAACAACCCGAATGTCCACCAGCTAATGAATGGATAAACAAAATGTGGTACATCCACACAGTGGAATATTAGCCAAGGAAAGGAAGAACTGACACATGCTACAGTGTGGACGAACCTTAAAAATACCATGCTATGTGTAAGAAGCCAGTTCTAAAAGGCCACCTATTGTATGATTCCATTTATATAAAATGTTTGGAATAGACAAAGCTATAGAGATAGAAAGCTGATCAGGGCTTGGGGCAGCGGAAATGGGGAGTGACTGCCTAATGGGGAAGGAGTTTTCTTTTTCCCCCCTTTTTCTGAGACAGAGTCTTGCTTTGTTGCCCAGGCTAGAGTGAGTGCCGTGGCGTCAGCCTCGCTCACAGCAACCTCCAACTCCTGGGCTCAAGCGATCCTCCTGCCTCAGCCTCCCAAGTAGCTGGGACTACAGGCATGCGCCACCATGCCCGGCTAGTTTTTTCTATGTATATTAGTTGGCCAATTAATTTCTTTCTATTTATAGTAGAGACGGGGTCTCGCTCTTGCTCAGGCTGGTTTCCAACTCCTGACCTCGAGCAATCCGGCTGCCTCGGCCTCCCAGAGTGCTAGGATTACAGGCGTGAGCCACCGCGCCCGGCCTCTTTTTCCCCTTTTAAACAACTTTATTTTATTGTGGTAAGGACATTTAACATGCAATCTACCCTCTTAAATTTTTAAGGGTATGATACATATTGTCAATGACAGGCACTATATTGTACAGCAGATGTCTAGAACTTATTCGTCTTGTATAAATGAAATTTTATAGCCATTAATCAGCTATAATCCATTTTCTCCCTCCCCCAGCTCCTGGCAACCACCGGTCCACTCTCTGGTTCTGTGCATTTGACTGTTTCAGCTACTCATATAAGTGGGACCATGCCAGAGGTTTTCTTTCAGGGTGATGAAATGTTTGGAACCACATAAGAGATGGTGGTGGTACAACATTGTGAATGTCCTAAATGCCACTAAATTGTACATTTTTTTTTTGAGACAGAGTCTCGCTTTGTTGCACAGGCTAGAGTGAGTGCCATGGCGTCAGCCTGGCTCATAGCAACCTCAAACTCCTGGGCTCAAGTGATCCTTCTGCCTCAGCCTCCCGAGTAGCTGGGACTACAGGTATGCGCCACCATGCCCGGCTAATTTTTTCTATATATATTAGTTGGCCAATTAATTTCTTTCTATTTATAGTAGAGACAGGGTCTCGCTCTTGCTCAGGCTGGTTTCGAACTCCTGACCTCGAGCAATCCGGCTGCCTCGGCCTCCCAGTGTGCTAGGATTACAGGCGTGAGCCACCACGGCCCGGCCTAAATTGTACACTTTAAAATAGTTGATTTGGTGTTATATAAACGCCAAAAATGATTGATTTTAGTTTATATTTCATCTCAATTTTAAAAAAAGAAAAGACAAGACCCTCTCCCCTTTCCAAAAAGAATGGATGGAAGGAAGCTACTGCCCATGGGGACGCCCAGCAGAGCCACCACTGGAAAAGCCCGAGTAGAATAGGAACAGACATTCTGTGTGCTGACGACTCAGAGTAAATAAGCCACAGTCTCAGGGTGCAAGAAGCTCACAGACTAGTAGAGGAGGCCAAACAAGAAAACCAAGAGGCACAGCATGGTAATTTCTAGGAAGTCTTATGACACACTGGCCCAGGTATGAGGGGTACGGAAGACACCTAATCAGGGTGGGGACTGTTCAGGGAAGGCAATGATGAGCATGGGTGAAGTTGGGTGGGGAGAGGGAGATTCTTGGCACCTGGGAACTGTAGGAAGTTTGGTATGGCAGGTGCAGAGGCACATGGGCCCAGGAGGTTGGTGAGACCAAGTCCCTGAGGACAGACTCGTGTCCTGCTGTGGTGCCTGGGTTTTGTCTGGTTAACCTCGAGGAATTGGAGGCACACCGGATCACATCTCCAGCAGCTATTAGAGCACAGAGTGAGGAATCCGCAAGTAGGGAGTCCACTCTGGAGGCCATTACCATGCAAGGCACAGCTGCAATGCATGTGCTGAAGAGGGCAGCTGGGCAAATGGCAGGCACCTGTCACTAAGAGATGGGATCTAGGAGGACAGGCATGGGAAGGAAGTGACAGATTCCACTGGGTTAGAGGTGTCAACTCGGTGTGCTAATGGAGACCTCCAACATCTGCTGAGGTCTAGATCTGGGGTGTGAAACAGAGATGTGGGTGACAGGCACAGATGTGGAATAAAGAGACTGCCTGGGAAGAAAGTTTAGACCGAAACCCAAAGAAGGCAGAAAACAGCCCCATGTTGATGCTAATATTTCAAGGGCAGGTGAAAGAGGTGAAGTGAGCAAAACGTTATGCAGAAGTTCTCAGAACCAGTAGGGAAATATCAAGAGAGTGGGGTTATGGAAGTGAAGAAAGGAGGGCTTGTGGGGGGGGTGGGGGTGGGGTCAGTTCCCCACCACTGTTCCTGAACACTGCCCATGACACATACTGAAAGTCTGAGCGTTTCCTTTGCGCTTCATAATCTTCCGAGCTACGCAGGGCACACAGAGTTATTCCCACTTGGCCAGTAAGGATACGGAAGCCCAGAGAGGTCACCCACTCTGCCTGGCCAGAGGGCTCTAGAGTGGTGCTGCTGGGACTGGGACTCTCCGCTCATGTGACTTTCCTCATTGCTGTTTGTGTCCCCTGATTATTTTGGTGGAGAGGAAAACATCTGGCGCCCTTCAAATGAGGATTCTTCATGGCCCAGAAGGCTATGATGACTTAAAGCCTCTCACCAGGAACCCCAGGGGAAAAGCATAAAATAGGACCAATAATTTAGTTCCCAGGCACATGAGTTGTAAAAGTCACTCTTCACTTCCTGGCCACCAGGACAACCTGTGGTCATTCTCTCTGCCTGCAACATCTGGCTACCCTAAAAACCCACCTGAAAGGGAAACACAAAGAGGAAACAGAGATGGCACACGGTCTGCTACTGGAGTTTCACCCCAGATTCCGAACATGGCAGAGGCAATCAGCATAACGGGCGTGGTCCCACTGCTTTAGAGCAGTAGGTACCATACATTTTAAACGTTTGCATAGGTACAGAAAAAATTCTGGAGGATACACACACTTTAATAGTGGTGGAGGAAAGGAGAATTAGAAGAAAAATACTTTTATATACTTTTGGATTCTTTAAATGTTTGAACGTGCATTACTTTTGTAATTAAAAAGCCCAATAAAGAAGCACACTGGTATTTGCATGTTACTCTGAAATGTGTCAGAAGGATAAGAAGGGTTGGTACATGGAGAGACAGGTGACAGAGCACAGTATAATGCACTCTAGATGCTGGGTATATGGGTGCTTACTGAAAAACTTTCCACTTTGCTGTATGTTTAACACTTTTCATAACAGAATATTAGAGAAAAAAATCTCAACAAAGATGGGAGGCAAAATAGCCTAGCTGTGAGAGGGCAGAGCCATCCTGCGGACATCCTTGGACCTTTATTTTCCACTTTCTGTCTTGGGCATCTCGTTCACGACAGCAGTGTTTGGGCTACAACCCATAGTTTCCTTTCAAGTACTCCTCTCCTCACTGAAGGATGCTTTCCTTAGAGCAGGGCAATTATCGATTCCTAAGTAGTTTCCCTTTGCATGTTCCCCTGCTAATTGGTAACTCAGCTGTGAGCCCAAGGGACTAGTTAGAATTCTCTGGGTCCCAAAGAGCTTTCCGTACCAGTCTGTGTCCACTCCAGGAGGGCACACGTGGCCACCCGGAGGTGACAGATTCAGGTGAGGGGAGGTGGGTGTGGAGACAGGCTCAGGGGCTCTCTTCTTTAACAAGACTGGACTTGACTGTCCCCTCTTTTTCGCACTGAACATCACTAGGGAAGGGGAAGGGGCAGGGGCGCGAGAGCAACTCTTCTTGTCCCAGGGTGGGAGGCCCACACGCCAAAGGGCTCAGACCTGAGCATAGAAAGGCTAGATACGCAGCCTGTCCTTACCGTGGCAGAGTGGTTTTGTGTGCAGTGCAGATGTGCCCTGCCAGCTGGCCTGGGTCTGCCGCCTGGGTGGGGAGAACTAAAACGTGCAGCTGCCCTGCCAGGCTGGCACGTGGCAGGGAGCACATTTCACTGGGATCAAGAGCCACTGGCTGCCAAAGGCCACCTGGAGATTCCTGGGGATGGGGAGGAGTCAGAGGCTTACACTGTGATAGCATGTAAAGCCAGCAGTGGCCACACACAGCGCAGTGCCCAGGGAGCAGCATTCTTCCAGGCAGAAGGCAGGAGCACAAACCCAGCAAGAGGTCTGAGTGGGCTGAGTAAAACTTCATGTCCCAATCCCTGGGGCTATGGGAACCAGCAGCCCCTAGATGTCCCTGGGGTCCTAGCAGGGAGTAGAACTGGCTGGAGCTGAGGCTTGGCTATCACTGGGTCCCACAAGATGGCCAGACTTATTTGCCAAGAGTCTGCTGCCTGCTGTCAGAGGGACGTCAGGCGGAGGCCTTGCGGCACAGAGCCAAGGACCCTGGGCCCACACAAAGTGAGGCCACAGT